AAACTATTTCTCTCACAAAGTTCGTTAAGCGATCTTAGAATGCTTTTCTGCAAGGTAGCTGAGTCTCATAATTATCTCGAAAGCCCTTCAAACTAATACTTTTGACAGGTTAAGGATCAGCAATAGTAGAAAATTAAATTTCTAATCTTTCGAAAAACACGCACCTTGATTTTGTCTTTTTTTTAAAATTTTGTTGAAACTAATTTATTATTTTACAGAAAAACTATTTTTTGAACAAAATATATTTTATTTAAAACAAATTAATAATAATAAAAAATAATAATTAAAAAAGTAATAATAAAAAATAATAATAAAAAATAGTAGTAATGAAAAATAGTAATAATAAAAAAATAGTAATAATAAAAATAATAATAATAAAAATATTATATAATAATGTTCTAGAGAAATATTTTTAAAAATTTTCTACTGTTGATAAATGCTTTTATTTTGAAATCAATACACCTATATTTATTATATTAATGAGAAAATGTATAATATTTTAAGAATATCATTTTTCAATGAAAAAACGTGCGTAAGGGAATTGGGTAATTTTTTTTTTTTGGACTGATTTTAAGAATTTGCTAGTGAAAATATTTGCTTTTAGATAATAAATTGTTAACGCAAGGGGATTGACGAAACACCAATGCATTAAATGATTGGAAACATATTTTACTGATGAACGATTGCAGCAAACAGAGGGTGTGATTTTTCATCTATATATATGACGGTTATATTTTACAGGGATAATAAATATATTTTTTTTATAGTAAAAACCAAAATTGTTACTACAATTTTTTTTATCAAATTTTATAAAGTGAAAGGGAAATGATTACAAATTAAAAACAAAATTTTTCCATACAAAAAATTTTAAATATTGAAAAAATATACTTGAATTAATTAATTAAATTAAATTAATTTTTCTTTTATTTATTTTAACAAATTGATGGGACGGAATTTAATTAATTAAATTAATAGCAGTGATTATTTATTTGAAATAACAAATGTACATATTTTTGCTGATAAAAATTGTTTATTTTCAAAAAATGTAACTGATTCTTTTATGAAAATATCAAATTTTGTTACGAATTCGACGTCTACTTTTATGATTTTAATGTAATCGAATACCATGAAATGTTAGAATATAATATTTTAACTCAAAAAAGAAATATATATATATATCTTCATATTGAGAGGAAAATAATTACGTGTGTAGCTGTTAAAATAATTTTGACTCATTTTCGTGACAAAAGAATTTTTATTTATCTCTCATTTGTAGCTTAATTTTTGCTTTTGAATAAGTAAAATTTAACTAATTAATATTGGAAAAAAAAATTTGACTAACGAATTAGTAAAATTTAAATAATTATTATTTGAGTCGCAATTAAATGGTATTTGTTTCAAGTACAGAATTTATTGGTTCAAATAAAATTAATTTAATTTAATGAAAAATTATTTGGTTCAAGTAAATATTTATTTGTTAACAGCCAAGTAACCGGTTTATTTGAATGAAATAAAAAATTTTCTTTCGTGTACAGAGAAAAGTTTTGTTTTGAATCAAATATATCATTTTTTGAAACACAATTTTTTTTTATTACATACTATAGCAGAAGTTACTATTGCAAAAGTTACTAGGGCAACAGTTACTAACTATGGCAAAAGTTACTATTGCAAAAGTTACTAGGGCAACAGTTACTAACTATGGCAAAAGTTACTATTGCAAAAGTTACTAGGGCAACAGTTACTATGGCAAAAGTTACTAGGGCAACAGTTACTATGGCAAAAGTTACTAGGGCAACAGTCACTTACTATGGCAAAAGTTACTATTGCAAAAGTTACTATTGCAAAAGTTACTAGGGCAATAGTTACTATGGCAAAAGTTACTATGTCAAAAGTTAGTTACTAGGGCAACACACAGAAAATTAAAAGGCATTAAAATAAGCTGCAACGCTTATTATTTTAATCTAATTTTGCTTATTTTAATACCAAAATGGATTATAATAAGCAAAATTGGATTAAAATAATAAGCGTTGCAGCTTATTTTAATGCCTTTTAATTTTCTGTGCAGTTTTTATGGCAATAGTTACTATGGTAAAAGTTACTATGGCAACCGTTACTATGGGAACAGTTACTTATTATGGCAAAAGTTACTATGGCAACAGTTACTGTGGCAATAAATAGATTATTTATTATATTCAAATAACTTTTGATCTGAATTTAAAAAGCCACGAAACCCTAGATGTAGGCGCTCTGCGCCTGCTTTTTTTCCTTATTTTTATTATTATTATTATTATTATTATTACCTATTATTATTATTATTATTAGTATTATTTATTCTATTAATAATTTATTATTTATTATTATTATTATTTAATGTATTAAAAAATAAAAAACAGCAATTATTTAATTTAGAAAATGGCTCTGAAAAAAATTGCTTTTTTTAACTTTAGATTCATGCATTATTTAAAAGCTGCAATAGAAGTCGTGTCAAATTACATATTTTTGGGTGTATAGAACCACTTTGGCAGGTGTTTTGATACTGGTGTATAGTTATTGTCGAGTAGGGCATGTTTTTCGTGTATATACGTGGGGATGAATGAAAACGAACACAAAATCCAGTGAAGCAGAGAGGTCAATCGTACTAGTTTTCTATATATATATATATCTATATTATATATATATATATAACCATGAAACAGCAACATTGGTAGTGTATAGTGATCGGGCACGTATAGTTGGTTCGCGTGACGATTTCCAACACGAGCTTTTCGTTTCCATTAAGCATCGATGAGCACCGAGGAACTATTTTGGAGGGTGAGAGAGAGCGAGAGAGAGAGAGAGAGAGAAAGAGAGAGACAGAGTCGGTGCGGGTATAGCTGCTAGCCGGGATCGGGAGAGGTGTTTCCCCAGGGTAGAGCACGAGCATATACTTGCCCGGGGCTTATTCAGACAAATCGGTGATTGCTGCGGAGGCGAGTGAAAGGGTAGCCCGCAACCGGCGAGGCGACTGTCAGATGAACAGGGACAGATAACGATTCAGTCTTTCTCTCTCTCTCTCTCTCCGTTCTCTCTTTTTAGTGCAAGCAAGAGAGAGAGAGAGAGAGAAAGAGAGTCAAGCCGAACAACCGGAGAAGAAAGTGAGAGAAAATGGATGTTAGAGAGAGAGAAATGATTGTTTCCATGATTACAATGGAACGGAAGAGGAAGAGAGGGAGAGAAAAGCTGGCAGACAAGGGTATGGGGGCCAGCAATCTCTTAGCGCTAACGTGGATTCGTGGCCCAGGGACTCTCGAAATATTACACCGAAGGGTATATAACCACACGTGTATATCCACCTCCCTCCTCCTCCTATTTCTCTTGTACAATTCGAATGTATGATCTTGATCAAGTCCTCTGAATCGCTCTCTCTCCCCTCTTTCCAATAAAAAAAAATTTCCCGATTTATTTTCGTTTTTTTTTCACCCAAAAAATAGTTTCGATTACAAAAAAAAAAAGCCTCAAAAAAAATTTATATACAAGGGTGTGAAACATCTTTTCCAAGGGTGGCTAGAAAAATGTCTATACAGATAAGGATGAGGAAAAAATATCATCTCATTTTTAAACGCATTTGATCAGTGAGAAATTTATCAAAAAAACTTCTGTGTGAACAAATCAATGATTGGAAAAAAAAATGTATATCAAATTTGTGTGAGGGGGAAAAAACAAATTTTTATCGCAGAGAGAAATAGATCAAAGTATATAGACAATATGGATCAAAGATTTTTGGTGAGAAAAGTAAAGCCTCTATAATATATATAAAAGATGATATCTTTGTAGTAGATAAGTATAACGAGTTGCAATTCTGTAAAAGATAACTGTGTCGATATATTAAAAGAGTATTTGGGAGGTAAAAAATGAGAGGAATACAAATTACTTTTTTTTGGCAATATAAAATTTCGTGTATGTATGTGACATTAAAGGGAAATTGATCACTAGTTTGATTATTCAATTTTCATCAGTACGAATTTTTTTTACCTGTACGAAAAAATATTCCTCTGAAGTTGAAATGAATGAAAATTTAACCTTTGAAAAAAAGTACTAGTACTGAAAATAGAAAAAATTAAAATCAAGTAATAATTTAATAACTATAATAATAATAATAAAAATAATAAAATAATAATATAATAGTAATAATATTATAATATAATAATATATTAATATAATAATACTATAATAATAAGAATAATAAATATTTTGTTAAAATTTAATTTTACAATTGAAAATAAAATTTTTTTCTTCTAAATTTTTTTTTATATAAACGATTAAAATTCAGAAGAGGGCATATTAAAAAAAGATTTTTCTTTTTTCTCGAGCTTATGCTTAATAACTTTATTTTGATATACGGAGAGAGGTTTTTAATAGCTACGGATATTACGTTATTAAAACATTATAAATTGTTATTATTCAGTGAAATATCCCTCTACATAACAAATCAAATCCCAAGCAAGTACCTATGTTACCATATATAACTTTTGTTCCTGCATGTTTAAATCATTTCGGATTGAAATAGGAAAATATGATTATACACGGGCAAAGGATGTGTGTATGTATATATATATGTATGGTACGCGCTGCCAAGAGACGTGGAGCTTTATTGCCCTCCTCTTTCGATAAAATAAAAATCTATCCCTAAAAAAAATAATTCGACATCCACTGTTTTTCGTCACTTCCGATTATGGTGGGTAGATTAAAAAAAAAAAAAAGTTTTCATACAGTTTTTGTTTTATGGATGTTATTATATTTTATTATACATCATGATTACATTTTTTTTTATATATTGTGATTACATTTTATTATATACATAATAGAAATTATATTTATATTATATTTTAACTAAAATGTGGTAGAAATTTTTTTTTTGGTTCCAACTTGGGGTTCAGAATTTCATTGTTATTATTATTTTATTATTATACATTATTTATAAACGAAAAATGTTTTAATTATTTTTTATTTTTCTGTTTCAGGGTGAGTTTTTTATCAGCATCTTTCATCAAAATTATCAACAAATGGGTATGTAAATACAAAAATTCAATACAATTATATTTTATTATTATTTGTGAAAAATGATTTAATTTGATTATAGAACCAAATATAATTATTTTAGAAAATACAAAATTTACTTTTTTTTTGTATTTTCTAAATGAGAACAAAATTTGATTTTTGTTATTACAGAACGAAATAATTATTTTAGAAAAGACGTACGTTTTTTTTTTATAGAACAAAATTGGATTTTTCTTTTGGTGTATTTTTAGCTTGTATTCTCGTATACAAGGGTTAAATCGAGGGTTAAATATATAAACTTTTGAGCTACTTGGAAATGGGACACCATAATTGATGTTTTCTTAGAAAAGAGCCACTTGAGATACATATTTCAAGAAATTGGTCTCTTGAAACCCCTCTCGTTTGATACGCTACTGTACATTCTAATTCTACCCTAATCTATTCTGGTGACTAGTCCACTCTAATGCACCTCTCTCTTTCTCTCTCTCATGCCGTCAATCCTTCCTACCCTTACTATCTTCCTAAAGCATTTAACCACATACCACCTATCCTCCCTCACATCCAAAACAACATATCTCACCTTACCTCCTGTCTAACTCTAAATCCGATTCTAATTCCTTTCCGTTCAAACTTACGTTTATCTAAACTTAGCAATTTACCCCCTCTTTATAAACACAATTCACACCATCAAACCGCGTTCGAATTCTCCTCTAATTGTACATTACACTGAAAAAAAAGCCACTAAATGTTTTGATAAAAAAAAAAAAATTCTTAACTCAATTATATTATTATTATTATTATTATATATTATTTATATAGAATTTTATGTGCTACGAATTTTTAAATGTCAAAATTTCTAATTCGACGAATTGTTATTTGATATAATTATTAATAAACCGATTTTTCATTGGACCGAAATTGGAAACGTCCGAACAAACATAACCTACAAAATTATTTTGACGCGATTTTGAAAATTGACCAATCAGAAATTATCAAGAAATTCGTGATTGGTTAATTTTTGAAAACAGCGCTGAAATCTTTCTGTCGATTATTTGTTTGGCAATTGCGGATAAATGAAAATTCGGCGTTTTAAAAATTCTATTAAATAACAATTCGTATAAATAAAAATTAGGACAAATTAAAATTCGGAAAAACTAAAATTTGGATAAATTTAAATTCGGTGAATTGAAAATTCTAGAATTTAAAAATTCGAAGTACTTAAAATTCTATTAAATGAAAATTGTGCTAAATTAAAATTTGGTAAAAATAGAAGCCTTTTAAATAAAAATTAGTGTAAAGAGAAATTTTTCCAAATAAAAATTTTACCAAATAAAAATTTACTAACTTATTTATTTATTTATTTAAACATAAACGGGTTACAAATAAACCCTTTCGTACAGAAGTACTTAATAATAATGGCATACAAAGCCTAATCACATATAACCAATTAAGGTAATATACTTAACGCTTAGGCTTGGCTGTATAACAATTGTCTCAGACTAGAGATAAACCTTGTCAGTGAGGCATCAAAAAAATCAAGCGTACCAGAACTAGTATTAGCCTCTCTGCTTATTCTTGCAATCAGAGAATTTTTCGCATAATTCGTTTTGTGATACTGCACATAAAAAAGTGAAAGATATCTAGATGATTTCGTAGGTACAAAGAATTTAATCGATGATAAAAGTACTGAACAATTCGTGAAATTATTTAACAACTTGTACAAAAAAATTAAATCTGAATATAAAAATCTAGTGACAATTTTGGGCAAATTCAAACGATTTCGTAGCTCATCATAATTATGTTCAAAAAAATTGAAAGGTATACCCAATTGTCTTGCCGCAAACCGAAGAAACCGATTTTGAACACGCTCCAATCTTATTAACAAATATGCATAGTATGGCACCCAAATAATTGACGCATACTGCAATATACTCATGACAAAAGTAAAAAACAAAATTTTAAGAGTACGTTCATTTCGAAACAAGGATGCATTTCTTGTCACAAAGCCAAGCGACCTAAGGGCTCTACTTATAACATCAGAAATATGAGAATTAAATGATAGTGTACTGTCAATAGTAACACCCAGGTCACAAACTTGGGTCACCCTCGGTATTACATCTTCACCAAATGAGTACAGGTAAATAAGTGTACTTTTTTTCTAACTAAAAATTCTGTACAGAAAAATTAAAAATATAATATTTTTCGACTTCTAATAATAATTTTAAAAAAATGTTTTCAAATCAAACGGAACTTTTATAAGTTTTAATTTTAAAACTCCTGCAAAAACTTTTTCTCGTAATCATAAATTCGTGTTATTTATATAGAGAACTACTCTTAAATATAAAGGATTAATAAAGAAAAACTTTTTCTTTCGGAATAATATTTTTTTTTTGGATCTAGAAAAAAAAATGATCTAAACTTATTGATAATTTACCCTATATCTATATATATTTTCACACCATCAAAAAAAAAATCGCGATTCAATTGTCTTCTAATTAGAAAAATAATTAACGATAGATATCGACATTTTTTTCAACTGTCTCCATCCATTCTTTCTTTTTCTTTCTTTTATTTTTTGAAACTGAGCATTTAAATTAAAACTGGAGTTAATTAGCTAACAGAATGGTTCCTCAGCGATATGATGAAATGAATCCATGCAATAAAACGAAAAAAATTCTCATAAAACGAGAAATATTACGTTTGAGAAAAAGAAATGATGGGAAAAAGAAAGGCTTTAAAATAAATTTTAATAGATTCGTCCCGACAAAACGGAGTTTATTTATTTTTTTTTTTAATTAACTCATACTTCTATTTTTCCATTATTTTTCTTCTTAGTTTCATTTCTTAATGTAGATTTTCAAAAAAAAAAAAATTGTTTTTCTTTATACTAGCTAGGAAATAATAATGTACCTCGAGAGTTTTTAATTTATTAAAAAATAATTTCCTTCAATTTCGTATTGTAGGATTTAAAATACATTTTTCTTTTGGATTAAACTAATTAATTTCTCAAATTTTTCATTAAAATTAAGAATAATTTGCTTAATTTTTTTTTTTTTGAACTAAAAGAATTATTTTTCATCAATAATATAAAAACTACTGAAGCGTCAGAAAATAACAAATAAAAATGTAAAATTACAAATGTAAATATAAAAGAAAAATAAGTGAAACACATTTAAGTGTAAAAGAAAATATGTAAGGATTAAAATGGAAAAAAAATTGTTGTAAAAATAAACGCAAATGTAAAATGATAAAAAGTTAAATGAAAATATAAAAATACATATATAAATTTGTCGAAGAGGTATATGTAAAAAAAGAGGAGGAAAATTTTTGAATCTAAAAGAACGTAAATTTATATAACTGTAAATAAAAGAGACAGTTGCGAAATAAAAACTGAACATAAAATATTCAATCTCAAAACCTTATAAAAACATATAATTCTGTTTAAAGTATCAAAAGAACAGTTTAAACATTTTGTTTGCTAAGAGAAAATGGAATATGTACCTCGCTTCCTATGATTTAAAGTTCCAATCTTTACCTAGCTTCTTTTCCTTTCTTTTATTGTATATATATATATATATATATATATATATATATATATATATATCAAAAAGAGAAAGGAAAAATACATATTGAATATCGAGTTTTCTGTAAATGTTAAAAATCCCAATTTTCAATTATTAAATAGTATTTTATTTCAAATAATTAACAATAAAATTATTGTATTTGTATTTAAATTTTATTTAATTTTAAATTAATAGAAGAGATTATAATTAATAAAGAAATATATTTGCTCTGACGCTTCTGATAGAAAATTGACTGGTTGGATTAATTGCAATACTGATTTCAAAGATGTAATTAGTTGATCAATTTAAAGGTGTATTTATATTGACAGGTTAATTAAATTGTTGAGAAATATGTCTTTTAAAATTTTTTTTTTTCAAGCCTATAAATCGTATGTAGACAGGTTGTTTTGTAAAATACGACGTAATCAAATGTCCATCAATCAAATAACAGATGGGAAAAACATTTTTTGTTTTATTTAAATTTTCTCGTTTGTTTTAGTTTTTTTTTTTTTTCCCCCAACCACCTTATTTGTGTGTATATATACGTTGGCAATTAGTAATTTTTAGATTATATAGAGTTCGGTAAAGTGCAACGAATGGAATCGTTCTATCAATACGACGCGCGCGTGTTACGTTTGAATTTTACCTCGATTAAAAATCGCGTCGAAACCCCAAGCAATATCCTGTGAATTTATTTATTTGTATACATTTATACACGCCAGTAGCAGGCATAGGGCGCGAGAACGAATATCAGCACATGTCACAAACTAATTGGCTTATCGGCAACTGTTATTAACGTAGCGGGTGGTAATCGTGGATTTTCCAGGGGCTTGTGAATCGTTCTGTTATACATGGGTTTGTATAATGACTCTCTCAAAATAGGCAAAAAAAAATAGAAAAAAAAAAATTGAGAGAGAAACCATGTTAAATTTCTGCTGCTTTCCCGCTCTTCGAGAAACTTTGTTGACATTTTAGTTCACTCACTCTCTCTTATTCAAAGGAAATTTCTGTCTTCAAAGATCTGGCAAACAACTAGCTTGCAATCATGATTAAAATGCTCATTTCACTGACTAAATTTCATGTTTGTGTACTTATTTTTTTTGTTCACGAGATAAATTTTTTCCTCATCAAACTAGCTAAAGAATTATTAAGTAAATCATTAGCTGAATCTTATAAAAAAATTTCGAAAAAATTATTTAGCTCGAGTAAATATTTACTTAAAGTAACTGATTATTTGAATCAAATGAAATTTTTTTTCAGTGTATTTTTGATATTTCTATATTTAAAATTTTTAATTTGTGGCATTTAACAAAATCTCTTTTATTGACGTATCACGTTGTTTCATTTAACTGTGAAATAATCAAATTATATATAAATAATTTTGCAGTTGACATGTTAATTTGTCGAATTGAATTGCTAATAAACTGTACTTAGTTGAGTAAATGT